AGCAAAAAACACCCAACTGTAAAAAGAAAAAGAAAAAAGGATCCAAAAATATGAAGATAGTGTAAGGAGCCTCTGAGACAACTTCAAAAGTACCAACATTTTGGGGGTGCCAGAAGAAGAGAGAGAGCAAGATATTGAAAACATATTTGAAAAAATAGTGACAGAAAACTTTTTTCACCTACCTGGTGAAACAAATAGACTTACAAGTCCAGGAAGTGCAGAGAATCCCAGACAAAAGGAACCCAAAGAGGCCCACACCAAGCCACATCATAATTAAAATGGCAAGGGTTAAAGAGAAAGAGAGAATCTTAAAAGCAGCAAGAAAAAAGCAGTTAGTTACCTACAAGGGAGCTCCCATGAGACTGTCAGCTGACTTCTCAACAGAAACTTTTCAGGCCAGAGGGAGTGGCAAGAAATATTCAAAGTGATGAATAGCAAGATGTTACAACCAAAATTCCTCTACCCAGAAAAGCGATAATTTAGAATTGATGGTCAGATAAAGAGCTTCACAGATAAGAAAAAGCTAAAGGAGTTTATCAACACCAAACCAGTATTATATGAAATGCTGAAGGGTATTTTTTAAGAAGAGGAAGAAGAAGAAAAAGGTAAAGATACAAATTATGAACAACAAACATGCATCTATCAACAAGTGAATCTAAGAATCAAGTGAATAAATAATCTGGTGATCATAATAGAATCAGGGACATAGAAAGGGAATGGACTGACTATTCTTGGGGGGGAAAGGGGTGTGGGAGATGCGGAAAGAGACTGGACAAAAATCGTGCACCTATGGATGAGGACAGTGGGTGGGGAGTGAGGGCGGAGGGTGGGGCAGGAACTGGGAGGAGGGGAATTATGGGGGGAAAAACGAGGAACAAATGTAATAATCTGAACAATAAAGAATTAAATAAAAAAAAAAGAAAAAGAAAAAAGTTGGAGGTATCACAATACCAAATTGCAAACTATGCTACAAGGCCATTTTAATCAAAACAGCCTGGTACTGGCATAAGAACAGGCATATAGATCAATGGAACAGGACAGATCCCAGAAATACACCCATGCTTTAATGGTCACATTTAGGGAGAGAGGGAGGGAGAGAGGGAGGGAGGGAGGGAGGGAGGGAAGGAAGAAAGAAAGGATGGAAGGAAGGAAGGAAGGAAGGAAGGAAGGAAGGAAGGAAAGAAGGAAGGAAGGAAGAAACTAGACCACTAACTTATACCATACACCAGAATAAACTCCAAATGGATAAAAGATTTCAATGTAAGTCATGAACCATAAGATCCTAGTAGAAAACATAGGCAGTAAAATCTCAGACATCTCTTGCAGCAATATATTTGCTGATATGTCTCTGAGAACAAGGAAAACTCAGGAAAAAATAAACAAATGGGACTACAAAATAACTAAAAAGCTTCCCCACAGTAAAAGAAACCATCAACAAAATGAAAAGAGAACCCACTATATGGGAGAACATATTTGCCAATGATATATCTAAGGCGTTAATCTCCAAAATATATAAAGAACTTATACAAATCAACACTGGAAGACAAACAATCCAATTTTAAAAATGAGCAAAGGATCTGAATAGAAACTTCTCTAAAGAGGACATACAGATGGCAAATAGACATATGAAAAAGAAATGCTCAACATCACTAATCATCAGAGAGAGATGCAAATAAAAACTTCAATGTATCACCTCATACCTTTTAGAATGTCAACTCTCAATACATCAGCAAACAAGTCCTGGTAAGGATATGGAGAAAAGGGAACCATAGGACACTGTAGGTGGGAGTATGGACTGGTGAAGCCACTATGGAAAACAGTATGGAGTCTCCTCAAAAAATTTAAAATAGAACTGCCATTTGACCCAGTGATCCCACCTCTGGGAATATCCTAAGAATCCTGAAACACCCATCAGAAAGAATGTATGCACCTATGTTCATGGCAGCATTATTTACAATAGCCAAGATCTGGAAATAGCCCAAGTTCCCATCAGCAGATGAGTGGATTAAAAGAGCTGTAAAAAAGAAGCATGGCTCAACCTGGAAAGTATTATGCTAAGCGAAATAAGCCAATCACAGAAAGTCAAATACCATATGATCTCACTTATATGTGAAATCTAATGAACAAAATAAACTGACGAACAAAATAGAACCGGAAGCATGGATACATTCAACTGACAAATGTCAGAGGGGAGGGGTTGGGAGGAACTGGATAAAGACGGTGAAGGGATTAGCTAAAGAACATACCATATAAGTATAGCCATGGACACAGACACTAGTGTGGTGAAGGCCAAGGGAAGGGGACACGGCGGGCTGGGTGGAGGTGGGCAACGGGGAAGGAAGGAGTGGGGGGCATCTGCAATAGTGTCAACAATAAAAAATTCAAATTTAAAAAAGGAGGCTGAATGTCCAAATGATCCTGCTCTATGTATGATGGATCTCTTCTAGCTGTGTTTCATCTATATCAATGCTATGAAATGTTTATTATTCATTCATCCAGCAAATGCAATCTTCAAACTCGTAGTGGTAGAATCGGACTCTGCTCCAGGTTCCAGGGATGCAGCAGTGAGATACAGTGAGAGCCAGATGGGCAAAGCTGTTTATGATTCAGGTGGGGGTTAGAGATAAGAAGGGCACAGCCGTAACAAGAGTGCGGAGCAGGGAAGAATAATTTAATGGCCCAAATTTGTATCCTTCAAACATGCAAGGCTTCTGAAGTCACAACATTCTCATACCTTCCAAATGACAGTTTTCTTCCCCACGTTGGCCTCCTGCGTCAAGGCCTCCTCCATCTCTTTCCTCACAAGTTCCAGGGCCATCTGGAGCTTTACCTGTTTGGGAAGATATGCTGAGACCATTTAGATGCCCTCATTCAGCATTTCTCCCGACTAGGTGTGTCAGGGATACACTACACCTCAAACAGGCCTTGTGAACATAGCAATATGTCCAACCTCATTATAACTACATGAAATACAAATACACTTTGTTAATGTGAGACATAATCAAAGCTTTATATAAAGTATGTTCATTATGGCATTATTTAAAATAGCAAAACCACAACTAATCAAAATATTAAAAGTAGGAGGTAAGAAAAATGTATTTTACATTAACAGGATACAATTAAAATAACATGCTTAATAACGAGAATAAGGGGCTTAATAACAAAAAATGCTCAAAATTATAAAGTTAATTAAAATAAGCATATTTTATTTAATGTGATACCAATTTTGTGAAATGTGCTTTAAAGAATATATAAAAACTAGGCAGAGATCAGTAAAAACATTCAATGGATTAAAAACCCTACCTATTAGTGCCTGGTGAGAAATAATGTTATTCCTAAATCTGTACATGTCAACTTCCAAAAATTATTTACTACTTTGTAATCAGAAAAGTGTTTATTATTATTAGACAACAAGAAACCATGTAAGTTCGTATTTACTCAATGAAAAAGAAATAGAGAATGTTGTAAATCTCACAAGGCGTGGAAAAAGTTTAATGAAAACTAAATCTCCTTTCAACCCTAGCCCCTGCTAGAGGTAAACACATATTTTATTTGCAGAGACCACACACAAAGACACACCTACACACAAATTTTAAAACGCTACCCAAAGTCATCTAATAAGCCTCATAAAAATCAAAACTCTTGCCAAAGTCATTAATAACAAGTTATTTCTAAAAAATAATGATAATAAAGTAATGCTCATAAACGCAGTAGGATTGATGAAGGATTTAACACGACCGAAATGGCATTCGAATTAGCATTTGAAAGGAATAGAAACATGTAGATGGAGAAAAGCTCCCTCCCGTGGAAGAAATTGTGAGCAAAAGCAAGAAGGTGCCTAAGGCCTGGTGTGCTTGGGGACAACCGTGATTTGGCTCGTGTTGCTGCATCTTGGCTGGTGAAGACGACAGCTGTAGAAAGAGAATATGGAGCCCTAACAAGTTGAGACTGACAGGGTAAGGTGCTCAGAAGATATTTATTTGGTATTTAATTGAAAGTATTAAAATAGAGAAAACTTCTCTGGAAATATTACACTAGCCATGCTCTGTGTGGTGCTTTCTGGATGTAAAGAAGGCAGGAACTCTGCAGAAGTCTAGTTGGAAAATAGCTGGCATCTGAGTTTTGCAGGTGGCAACCAAAGCCAAAAAGAAAGCTCAGAGATATTTCTAGGTACGGCCAGAGGGAAGGGAGGGAATAAACACCCCAAATCTTGATTTAAACAATAAAACAAAGTTTTAAAAATAAAAGAAAATTTGTACTTTAATTCATTTCATCGTGATGGTATTTCAGATAACATGTCAATATCTTCTTTTGCTAGTAGCTGTTCCAGATGTCAGGGATTTAAATGTGTTCAGAATGTCCGGGAACTTTTGAAGAGCTCTAGGAAGGAGAATTCTATGCACAGAGTTTCACAGATGACCCTTTTGGGGGGCAAGGATTCATATAGGAGGCACCTCTTCATTAAGGTGCTCACATCTTAGTCCCCGAATAGGAGCTGAATAAAGATCTGCTTGTGCCTTAGCTCCTGGATTCCTATTGCAGAGCCCTGCGCCCACTCAGGCGCTATTGAACTGATACTCGAACCCCGGGATTGTGTCGGTAACAGTGTCAATAAGGCGGAGGTAAACATTATGTAAAAGAAGGCGTTGTGCCAATGGTCGCTTTTAGGGAGGTTTTCCATAAAGTGCACACCTGTAACCAAGCAGCAAGTGGACACCGGAGCTCTAACTGTGGGGCCCAGTTAGCATGGGGGACGGAGAGAAGGGAGTACAGGGCCGGGAGGGCCTGTGGGGAGGGACCTTGCCCAGCGCTGCTCTGTGCTCCTTAGCAAGGGCCGCCGGGGGTACCACGGAGCAAAGGCAGGACCTTCCCAACCTGAGCGCGCGCTGTGGGAGCGGGACTCGTCTCCCAGGGGGAAGGCCAGGGGCGTGCGGAGGTTGGGGAGAGGGGCCAGTGCGGGCAGG